TCTCTGATGCTCTTGTCCTTTCACACAGCATAGATTTATCACATCAGGTTGCCTCTTGAAGTTGGTCTGATGGTGTGCAAAGGCTATTATTATACTGTAATTTTTAGGTCAGTAGAACTATTTTGAATTACTACTACTTGTAATATCTGTTTTAATGAGAAGGGACTGTATTCTCTCATTTTTAACAGCTGCACTTTTGAGACCAAATAGTTGTTATTATGGGTTTGGAATTGAGCCAAGTGTGGATTCTTAGGCTTTTTAGATGCCTTTGGCACAAATATCAACAAACCTGCAAAGCTGTTGGACTCAGAAGAAGCCGCAGTCTTGCCTATGCTTTTGTTAGCAGCAGGATCATTTGCCTGAAGATTAGCAGTTACTTAAGAAATATTTATAATAAGTGAACGGTGAAAGAGAAACAGTGTGAGGCAGTACTTATTCATTGTGCAAGTGCAAATGCAAGGCAGGTGAGATGGTGATGGTTCTGGAACGTATCATTCAGAACTTGGAAGTGAATGAGCCGAGATCCTCAAGAGAAAGGGTGTGACTGGACCCTGATTTTTATTATTTATTTTTGACTAGTGTATTTTGCAGTACTACGTGTGAGCTGACTTTAGCATTTATACAAAAGACAAGAAGGTTTGGACTGTCTTGAGTTTTGATCTCACGTTTTTCATAGGTAGATTGACTTTTTCAACATTTATTAGTGGATGGATAATACCTATGTCTCAAATGGTGGTAAACATCAGTGACGTCTCTAATTTCATTTCACATGCTTTGTTGTCTTAACAACCATCATGCAAAGAAACTACTAGTTTTTAAACATGTGGACAGCAGAGAATATTAGATAATGAGTTTGTATATTGTTTAGTCATGTGTATAGATGAGTTTTAAAGTTGTGTACTTTGCCGGTAAGAATGATATTTAAACATGGAAATCTAATGTGCTTGATGGCACCCAAGAATGGTCTCTTGGAGCCCCCCTTGAGTGCAGAGTTCCTATGTTGAATTTAAAACTGTTTAATACTTTAGGAGTTTGGGATTTAGGGAAGAAGGGTTTGCATTTCTACCTGTGACTATCAGAGCCCAGCACTGTGAAGGCTGCAGGGAGCATGTGAGCATTGACCAGTTATCCTCAAAGGGATTGTAAACACTAATGGCAGTGATTGTGAAATGTGCTGATGATGGTACCAATGATGATTTTAGAAAATATATTTTGTCAGAGGAGAGGAGATGTAATATTATTTATAGTACCTGTTTCAATAACAATTTTAAGACTATTTTCCTAAATCCTCCTCAGATTGTTGGTTATAATGTGTGTGCAGTAGATGTTTTGTATGTGTACATCTGTGTGTGTGCGTGCGTGTGTGTGTGTGCGCATGGTCTGTTCCTTGTGTGCATAGTCAAATCCCTTTGAGAAATAATTAGTTGTTCATAATCTGCAGTAGGATCACCTCCTCTCTTTTGAAACCTGCCACTATAATGTGCCTCTTTTGAAGTCGAGGTGCAGAACAGGGAGTGGTAGCTTTGAAGTCTCTCAGGACATGACAGGATATGGTCAGTGCACAGCTGCCAGTCAGTATTCCTGCATTTAGCCACATGCCTTGAGTGGGCACTGGATGTCTTCATTTTGAATGATACAGCAAGGCAGAGGAGTATAAAAACTGCCTTCCTGAAATATAACATACTGTAAACAGATTTTGTAAAGGTGATGCTAAAATGAGACACACAGAGTCAAATCTTAGAGCTTTAAAAGAGAAGAGAAAGTGTGAAATGAACTTCAGACTGTTGTTGGTGAGGAACGCCTTTTATAGAGTGGTTGCTAGTGATGTGTTGCTTTCCAGGTTTAGAAATTTGCAGCTTTGAAAATGAAGACTGTCTGGAAGAAAAGGATGCCATAAAATTTTCTCATTATGATTGTTCTAAATTCAAGACTTCAGAATTATTACATTTGACATGCAAACATGCCCATTCATAAACATATAAATGAAATGCTTATATAAACAGTTATATACACTTAAACATTTGTATGTTTGTGAATAATGTACAAATACAAAAACTTGTGGGTAAACACCCTCTTGTATAGAGATATTCTTGCATGCACAAATATAACATCTGATGCAAACAGACACAAGCATATTAACAAACACATATTGGCACTTGTATACATACAAACGCAAACACACATTCTTTGCTGCGTTTCTCTTATTAGTACAAATATGTAAGAAATCATTATTTTAGTTATGAAATAATCATTATTATAAAGTCAAAAAAAAGAAGGAAAAAAAATAAAAAAAAGAATCTCAGAAGTGATAACACATGGATGGGAAAGGAACCTGTTATCTTGGATCTACACTTGCTATTTCACTTCAGAGTAAAGAGTTGATTTCCGCTGTTGAGAGTCTGAGCAGGGTATGCTTTGAGTGAAGATTAACAGTATTCTGTTCAAGAGGAGGAGAAAAAAGGAAAGCAAATCTGTGAGTTGGATGTAGAGTGATAGGAATTTTTTGCAATTCAGTGGAAGGAGGAAAAGAAGCAGTCAGACTATTGAGGAATGTCAAGGCTGTATTTTCAAAACTCTTATTATGCTTTACAAACACATATATATATATATATATATATATATATATATATATATATATATATATATATATATATATATATATATATATATATATATATAAAATTTTGTTATTGCATGAGGATTTATTGGAAGAAATTAGACAATCTGATAAGCCCAAGAATTTTTAAACTAATCCAAAATTGGGAATACAGCTATTGTGTAGCTTGTCTCAGTGCCGAGATGCTCCTCTCTGACTGTCAAGTCTCCCGGCTTCAAGCCAAGAGAAAGAACCTTCAGATTTGGCAGTCTCTGGGATGTTTCATACTGCCGCAAGAAATCGTGCAAGGCTCGGATGCCTTTGGTTTGAAATGCTGGAGACAATAATAGTCAAAGTTCTTGAAGTGTGTTTGTGTGTAAAATTTGATTATTTGAAAAATGTCATATAGGAAGATGTGTATTTTGAAAAGAAGGAAAGAAAAAAGAATTACTTAGGTGCCAATCCATAAGAGACATGAAAATAGAAAAAAAAGGAAAAGAAAGAGAGATTGATACACAGATGAGCAGAATTGCCTACCTCATGCAGTGTTTAGGGATTCCTGTTATTTTATCCACCTTTGCTTGTAGAATATTTGATATATCAACTAGACTTGGTGTTGAGATTTCTCTTGTATATTTTCCATTGATTTGACTTTATTCTCCCCATTGTACAGTGAAAGGTCACCACTTTGTAATGCAGGTAATTCAGCTTACATAGACAGATTTGTGAAATGTTTATCAGTAGAGTGATATTAAAACTTCAAAGGAATTGACGACTCGTAATATCATTCGGCTTTTGTAAATTCTAAACATATTGCCTATGTCCCTTCCTCTGGCCTTTTGTTTTTCCAGAAGGATTTTATCCCCCCCGGCTTGTGAAGAAAGGCACATTTGCGACTATGAAGGCAATTCGGAAAAATAGTCTCTGAAGATCAGATTGCTCCTCTGACACTGTGAATTCACAAGATTTCACTGTATATCCTTTGTTATCACAGATGGAAATTTGGCTCTGTACATATGACAGGTTTTATGCTGTGATGTAACAAAACTAGATTGTATCAGTCAGGATGTATTTCTTGAAAATGACGATGTTACTCTACAGATTATCATGATTATTTTTTATTTATTTATTTTTTCCCCCCCCTCTCTAATCTATTTATCTATTTATCTTTTTTTTTTTTTTCCATCATAGTAGATTCATAACTAAGATAACCTGTAAGCCAGAAGGAAAAAGGAATATTTGTATTTATATATATTTTTTATCACCATAAAAGTCCCTCTGTCAGGTGAGCATGTATGGTTACCTTGGAATTTCAGCCTTGTTAGAAAATTGTGTAATGTAACCGGTGATGCATTGTGTTTATGGAAGAGTGGTTTTAAGAAATCTATCTTTTAAAACCTGACAGTTTGTGATGTGGAATAATTTTTGATATTGCCTAAGAAATTCCAAATAAAGATTAATGTTAAAATGATTATTGGTTTATTTCACATAAGTAGTCACTTTTATCTGTTGTTTTCTCTCTCTCCTTTAAAAGTGTATAGAGGTAAGGTTATAATTGTTTGGCATATATCCATTATGTCTAATTACTAGGGTGCCTTTTTTGTGGAAGTGGAATAGATAAGTTTATTTAAGGTTTTGCATTAAACTAGAACATAAAGAGATCAAACTAATTAGATCATAACACATGACATGAACACATGTATGTACACATGCATGCACATTCATACAGATGCACACAGTACACATTATAAGTACATAATTGTACATGCATTTGTATACATACATATGTACACCTATGCATGAACATGAATGCATATAAACAAATACACACAAAGAATGAAAGTTAAACGCAAACACACACACACACATATACAATGAAGTTACATACATACATGTATACATATATATATATATATATATATATATATATATATATATATATATATATATAAAACTTATGGAAAATTGGTGTAGAATGTAGGCCTTCAATTTATTAGCCAATTGTCAAATTGTCATACTTATATAACCTTTTCCCAGACATAGGGTGGCACCTGCAATATTTGCCTAAACCTTTTCTCAAATTACATATCGTAACCCTTCTAGGTATGAAGTGCATTGTATTGTTGGAATGTATAGCATTGAAATAAGTGATATTGGTGATAGCCTGTTAAGAAATTATTAAAAGATTGTCATTGTTTTGTATGTTATTGGAATATCATGATAGTTTAACTTTTTTCTTCTTCTAAATTCCATAGGTAAGGAAGTATTGTGGATATGATCACATTAAAGTGATGGGGATTTCTATTTTTGCAGTTGCTCTCCCAATATGATTCAAGAGAATTCACAGCTACCTAACTGTTGGTTATAAGGCTATGTTTACAATTTGGAGTGGGCTTGAAGTAACCCACAAAGCAAACAACATTCAACAGGTTAAAATACCATAGCACGTTTTCCTGTGTTCCAAGTAAGGGTGTCATTCCTATTAGAATTAATGGTGCTTGTGCCATGCGTGGAGTGTGTGAGTGTGAAACTAATTTTTTGATGGTGATAGGAAAATCTTCAGCAGGGAATGACCACAGAACACTACTTTACAGAAATTATTGAAGGTTTGGCGAGATGATTCAAGGATGAGTTTGCAGTTCCTGGTTAGAGAATGTTCATCTTTGTTTTTCCTCCTCTGGTTTATTGAGGTTTGCTTGTGTATTTATTTGTTATGAGTTGTTAGTTGCTGACCAGAAGTTAGATTGGGTTATTTTAAATCTCATTGTAAACCTTGCTTGTATAGATTCAATTTATTTTTGTTTAGCATTGGATTTCATTTTAGCCCCTTATCTTTTCCAAATGGACAAATGTCTCTTAAATATATTTTTATAAAACAAAACAAAAAAAAAACATCCTTTGATGGTTAGGTGTGGTATGCATGTTCCAGTATAGTAAGGAACTAAGTTTAGTGGAAAAGAGGCACAAGAACTTTAAGAACATTATTACAATCCAGAGCCTGTGTTTAAGACCAGCTAGCTTTCTGGGGAGAAAGCCAGAAATCGAGAAGATTTAGTACGATTTCCAATTTTTACATTTACATTTTCACAGATTGATCATGCAGAGATAGACTTTCTGATGTTATGATTCTTCCTCTCTCTAAGTCTGAAGAGGTTAAAGTACTTTCTTGGGAATGCAAGTTTGCTTTTTAGGTGAGGTAGGGTCATGCAGAGGGAAGTAAGAAAAATAAGCCATTTATTACAGTTGTTTGTATTTGCTGGTATACCCACTGTAAGTGCAACTGCTGTTTCTATCTACTGTTTGGAAATCTTGCTGCTTGGAACACCCTGTTTGTAACATTTGAAATCCCATGAAATCCATATATAGGAAGTACAACGGGAAAAAGATGTTTTTAGCTTGTATAATTTGTTCTACTTGGAAAAACGTCAGTGCTTGATATTCTGCATATGCTTGCAATTTCCCTCTCAACTATTAAAATATGAAGATGACTTTCAGCTTGTCTCCATCTTGGTTTTATCAACCATTTCGAAGGATTATGAATTTTTGCATCTTGTACGTTCAACAAAGATAAATTTTTCCAAAGTAAAACTAAATACATCCTCAGTTAATATTTTTTCAGGAATAAAAACATTAAGAAAAGTATTACCTTGAAAGTATTGATCTTGTTCATTAATAAATCTTAATAATATACATTTTAGAATATGTAAGCTTATTTGAAGAAAGTTGAAATTAGATGCTTTCTCCACTTCAGTTGAAACATTTGGTCATTAGCAGAATATAAATGTTACAAAAGGTACCAGAAAAAAAATATCTACACACAATAGAGATATTCAAATGGTGTAAAGAAGTTACAATATGCCAGGAAATATTGTAAAATATTTGATATATGAAATCAATTATGGACAAATGAGACTGGATGCACCGAAATATCAGAAATTGAACATCACAGTAAGACTGCTCACTGTCATGCAAGGGCCTCGTGCAACATGACACACACGACATATTTTGTTTGCTTTTGCATAAAGATGGAAGGGATTTGTTGTATTGTTGAATTACTAGGTCACAGTGAAGGTAATTCATGGTAAATAGAGCAGCCTCAAAATTTATCTGCCTTTTTTCATATTATATGTAAAGGTTTCTTAATTGTTTACTAATGTATTGGAAGAACTTAGTTATTTTGCTAGTAATAAGAGGCATCTCTCTTCAATTCCTTAGACATATACTTTGCTAGTATTAAGAGATCAAAATATGTAAATTTCTGATTTGCAACACCCATTATAATCAGAATCATTAATGATAGGGTTAAGTACATGATATGCAATCACTAGTGCTGATTATGGTTATTTCCAAGTAAAATGATATGTATATATATTTCATATTATAATAAACTTCCCAGACACCAAGTTGAAGAATGGCTGCTAATGAAGACTTCTGTCTCGTACGGATGTTCATGAAATTTGAAGAGTATTTAATCTTTGACTGATATATGGTATTTCTGAGAAACATTTTCTCCATTCCTACTCAAGCCAGAATTGCGGGTAACATTTTACATACAATGTTTCTGAAAAGAAGGATGGAATGATATAACTGATAGTGTAGTTTGCATGTTGCTCAGTGTTAAGAGAAGTTGATCTGATCATGTATAATGAGTTTAGGTGTAGTGATGAATATATGTTGTCAACTTTTGAAATGAAGCAACACTACACTGGGTATCAAAACACCTACAGACAGATATCATCATAAGAGTTGACTGTGTAGTATTACCTCAGTTGATGATGGGATTTTGTGTAGTGTAGGACTACCAAAAAATGAAGTTTTATGCAATAGGTAAACCTGTGAGAAGTCAATAAAATACATAATTTACACAGGGAGGTCTCTGGAAATTAGTGTTAACCATACATCCA